GGCAAAGAAAGGAGTCCCATTTTGCGCCTTCTTGACGGATTTCTTTGCTTTTTTCGCCACTGGGGCATTATTCAGCATCTCCACTTCCACTATGAACCCAGTCCAAACTTATCGTAATCCCTCGCTTTGAAAAAACCGCGTTTTCATGAAAATGGGTTGATGAGTGGCCCTCCAAAAAAGTCCCAATGTGCCTAATTTCTGTTATATTCGCATTGATGTTGGTTGTATTATTTTCTCATGACTGCCTTATGCAGCGTTTCAAATAAATAAATGAATGGTTCAGTTTGTGTAATTCTGCGAAGTTAATCTCCCCTCCCACGGTTATGAGCAACACAGCACTACAAAGAAGTTTTCTTCATCATACGCCATCACGGACAAAGGCATTTGATCTAGAGGATTAGGGAGCTATGTTATGAGCATCAAAGAACATAAATTTCCTAAAGTGCAGTCTGCGTGGCTTCAGCGCATGCCCAAAACCGAGATAGTAACGAATGAAGCAAACAAACGGATTTTAACGGATTCTATTTATATTAAAGTCGATACACATGACTGGAGTCCACTATACCTGAATAAAGGGAGCGGTGATGAAATCTGTCACATTCAAAATGTTGTTCGTCCTTACACTGCTGTTCGTGCTCCTAGTGAAGACAGAAAGTGATGCCAAGACAGAGTGTAAGTGTGGTTATCGTACCTGCACGCTACTCAGAGTCTCGCACCCATCTTTGGTTCTGCCCATGTTGATTTCAAGGACCTCCACTTCGATAAGTGGAAAAGTTCGACTTTTAGGGAGAGATTGCGACAACCGGAGGCATATGTATTTACTGTTTCAAAACTTCTTCTGGAAGGCTAGGAGTGATATGGTGAGTATTACTTTTTTGAGCATTGGTTGGCGGCAGTGAATGAATTGCGGCATGTATGCAGACTTCGGTCTTACTTTGCATCCAGATCGGATACCACTAGCCGGCTTCGGGACCCTCGCCTTAAGAGAAGACTTGTCAGTATCAAGTGTTCTTGTTTCTGGGCAGAAACAAAAGTGTGAAGTGTATAAAGTTACTTGATTAGCAATTTTCTCATAGTATGTTGAATATGCGGGCATGTGTTCATGTGTCATTGCAAATTTAAATGAGGATGATTTTACAGAACATCCCGGAAGTATTGATAAACACTGAGTATTTAATTTTTTGCTCTTTCATCTTCTTCACTTTGATTCTACAGTTTCCGAGTCAGTCCTCTAAAATAAGCTTCATCTTCAGGTATGGAGTTGGCTGCTGGCGGACGTGGCTAACAGGACACTAATAGATCCGTCTTTGACATGGAAGAACACCTGGAAATCCAAAACAGGAAGGTTAGTTTGTGTGATTGTAACTTAGCCGTTGGACGCTCCGATTATCGCGCACACAACGCGGTCCCAAGGAAATAAGCAACCGACACTCTAAAAAATTTCGTCACCCACCATTACACTTTGTCAGCCCTTTCTTGCTAACTATAAGTTTGCCGATTTGCCCGATCTCTAAGGTAAAGTAACCAAACGATGGGATTTGTAGTCATGTCCCTTGGTGCACGCACTGTCCACAAATGGCGGTGCTTTGCGTAGCTGATGTGTGTTTTGTACATATAGGCCCATGACCACCCTTCCTAAGCTTGGTCTGTTCCCTCCATCGGTTTTCTCGGATTTGGGGGCACACACATGCTACTTGATCGATTTCATAATATTATATTTACATACACTGCGTTTCATAAATGTAGAAACACTTAAATTTTTTTGCCATGCCGTGGCATCTTGTTGCGTCTTCGGCTAGGCCATTGCTATCACCTTGTTTTAGCTGATGATTGCCGTTTTAGCGCCAATCGCGTAGCGAAAGCTCCACAATGAGCCGGATGAGCCGAATAGCGGACACCGGCAGCGAGCTCGAAGTAGCTAGCAAATGTCATGGTTTTTCTACTATATGAAGTGTACTTTGGTGTGTCGATTAGTATGTGCCTATGCGTCGGTCTAATTGTCCGTCCGCATCCATCCTGCAAAGTGAGGTGAATACGGTATCGGAAGCTTGGGTAAAATGAGGTCCTGGT